AGGCTGCTCAGTGGCCTCACGTTGCTGTGCCAGGAGATGTAATTGCCCCTCCACTGTGGGCTGTGGAGCAGCCGGCTCCAGGCAGGCAAGCAGGCAGTGTGCCCGGCCGTCACGCTCCCGTGTCCCTGGGCACCCTGGCCCCGCTCTGTCCCTCCTCGGACAGGGCTGGCAGGCCCCGATGGTGAGTGTGCAGGGAACAGGAGAGCAAGCAATAGCAGTGCCTTCAGACCCCGGGGTCCCTCACCACCATCCTGGTCAGGGCTTCCCACAGGGGACGGGGCTGCCAGGCTGGTGTTGGTGGCAGATAACGCTATTTCCGTGCTGGCTGCTCCCTATCAGCGTGGCGGTGGCGGGCAGACGAGATGGCACCCTAAGCACGCCGTGCTGGGGTGCTGTCAGGAAGGGGTCCTGGCCCCCTTCACCCCACAGCCAGCCCCTGGGGCGGTTTATTTTTACACAAGTTGTTTTCTTTCCGGCTTGACGCCGTCCCGTGTGGCGGCAAGAGCCGGGCTGGGGCCCCCGCGCCTCATTTCCTTGCCATAAAACAACAAAGCAGGGGGTGAAGTGGCGCGCCGGGCTGGGGCGGCAGGTCGCTGGGTCAGGGCACACACTGCTCCGTGGTTCCTCTGTGTGCTCGGCCCCACCAGCCACCCCCGGACCGGCATCCCCTATCTGTGCTGCTGCCATGCTGTCCTTCCTGAGGACTCTCGGAGCTGGGGCTGCATGTCTGTGTGCCAGCGGGAGCTGGCGCAGAGGGCATCACCCAAATTTAGGCATGATGCTCCCTCAGATGAGTGCACCCAAGTATCCCAAAGCTTTTGCCCTGGTTTCTGTGCTTGTGCTTTGTCCCCATGGCCTCCAGCAGACCCTGAAGATGCTAAACCCTGCGGCTCCGCTGCCTCCCCTGCACCCCAGAGCAGACAGGTGCTGCCTGCAAATCGCAGGCACAGACCACCCCCCGCTGCAGCCACCTGCCCCAAGCCACTCGTGCCCGTGGTGCTCCTGCTTCACACCACCATCACCTGGGCACCATGGCTGGTTCCCCTGGCAGGACATGGGACAAGGGATGGCTCTTGTCCACTGGCCCTGTGGCTTTACCAGGGTTTTGCACAGGACATGACAGGGTCCCACCAACCCCGCCCGATGGGTCACCCCACTCCCCCCTCCAAGTGGGGCAATGTTGGCAGCTGGCACATCACAGACAAGGTCTGCAGGCAGCGCGTGGTCAGTGCATGGGCAGTGCACGGGCACACAGCAAGGCTGCAACCCAGGCATGGTGGACAGGCAAGGGGCCAGGGGCACCCACCCCAGCTCCAGACTGCGAGCAGGGGGTTGGGAAAGGCGTGTGTTTCCCTTTAAGAGGCAGGCCCTGGAGCTGCTTCCTCTCAGCCCTGCAAGAGCCCTAAACACAGTGCATCTGCCTGCAGCCTGCCCGCACGCCTGCCTGCAGCCTGCCTACAGCCAGCGTGAGTAGGGCTTGGTCCCGGAGCCGGGGCTGGGGAGGGCTGGCACCTCGGAGTGCTGGGCACCCTGCTTACTGTGGAGGGCTGGGAGGGATGGCATTGCCACCGAGGGTGCCGGGCATCGTTGCGGAAGGTGCTGGGCATCGCTGGGTGAGTGCTGCAGCACAATGCTCGGTCGAGGACGCCAAGCGCCCCGGCACATCACCGCGACGGTGGGCTGTGCGGAGGCCCTAGGCACTGGGGGCACAGGGGAGCCAGGGTCGGTGTCCCCCAAAGCGAGGTGCAAAGCTGCTGGTGCCTCGAGCTCGCCCTGCTGTGTGCGGGCAGCACGTGGCAGCGTATCTGCCGGGCTCCGGTGCCTGCTGGGCTTCAGCTCCGGTGCCTGCTGAGCTCCAGTGCCTGCAGTGCCCTGTACTGCTGATGCTGGGCTCCTGGGGCTGTGCTGGCTGCTGAGCCGGTGTACCCCACGTCCTCTGGCACCGGCTTTGCAGACCTCAGTGGGTGGCAAGCATGGGCTGCACCCCACGGGAAAGCGAGCAGTGGCACTGACCATGGAGGAGAGCCCGGGAGCGAGCAGTTGCACGCCCCGGTCCCTGAGACCACTGCTGTACCCTGTATCAGACCCTGCTGGGCGTGAGCACCCACTCTCCCATAGCTCCCCGTCCCAGGGCACCTTTACAGGCACTCGTAAACCGTGTCTAAGCAGGGGGCACAGATGTCAAACCCCTCCCGGGCTTGGAGGGGGGCTGCTGGAGGCTTCCCGGGTGCCAGGCCCCCTTTTCGGCTCCAGGAAAGCTCGCAAGCCAGCAAATGCTACCATGAGCCACCCTGGGTGAGCCCCATGCAGGGCACCCTTGGGTGCTCAGGCCACCCGGAGGTCGGGGCAGTGTGGGTCTCCGGTGCTGCGGAGCAGCCAGGCTTCCCTCTGCCCCGAGGACATGGTTTGGGAGTGATGTGTTGTGTGGGGTCAGCGCCAGCTGTGTCTGGGGTGCAAAGCGGCAGCCCCAGGTTGGAGCCGGGGGTCCTTGGCCAGGCCGGCTGGGTGCCGCCAGGCTTTGTCTGGTGCTGGGGCGGTGGAGGCAGCCCCAGCTCTCTCCTCCTC